TTTAAAATCCAATTACTACTTTCAACTAGAACAGACCTGTTGAATCAAACCAATAATTTCTGCACTTAAGTATCTTGAATTCTAACTCAACTGAAGATTTTAAAACAGTACTAATAATTCCCTCAATTTTGTATGCAGCTTTATTTACTTCAAGGAATGCTTCATTAAGACCAAAATCTAATCTAGATTATTTCTTTGCTTTGTGACAATTCATAGGCCTACTTCTAATCTCCACTTGACTCCTAAAATCAAGGGATTCAAGGGCATCTTGCAAAGAAAAGGGGGAAAAGAGTGGAAGTCAGTTTACTAGAAGTGTTCCTAGCTGTCTTTCACACCATCATTCCTCTATGTAGTTGAAGAACTATGTTGTCCCTATATAAGACCTTTGCTCTAACTCACCCATCACTTTTACTAACTTGGTTGATAACTTTCTCTATTGTGTTGTTTGATGGCCACTGTTTTGCATCCCTTTTGAATTCTGCATCAGCAAACAGGGCAACCTGGAAAAACTGGATTGAAAAAGGTAATCCCCCCTCAAAAGCAAACACAAAAAGAAAGAAAAAACACTGTCCTCACAGTATGCTCCTCTAAGTGCCATAGACCAAAATTTCCATCATGCCTGGCTATGCTCAGCAGAACTGTATGCCAAAACATTTTGAAGGACCACATTTAGCAAGGCTGTTCCACTGCAAGCATGGACAGACTTCAAAGTGTGTGGGAAATCTAAGGTCCATCAATCAAAGCCAGGTGCAAAACAATTGATATATACTAAAAATTAAGGTACAAGATGCCTCTCAGCATATTCCCAACTTAAGAAACACAAAATCCACTCTGCCTCCCCCATGTTCTTTTTCAAAAGGGGTGATTTTTAGGGGCAATGTTAAAATTATTGCTGTTAGACAATGAGAATCAGAAATCTTTGACAATGTACTGCTAATCAGATACAGTCCCAAATGATTTTCTGCCCACTGTTTCCAGTGCACAAAAACTTACAAAAATAATAATATAATAATAATAGTTTATTTATATCCCGCCTTTAGCTGCAGCTATCAAGGCGGCTTACATGTAAAAACCAATACATAAAAACGAGTCATACAATAAGTTACAAACAATATAACTAACACTATTACCCCCCCTTAAAAGTAGATTAAATACAGATCTAGTTAAAACTAAGTTGAAATAAACAATAAAACAGTAAAACTTAGATAAGCTCTCTGGGAAATGACGTAGATATAAGAGAATGTCTGACGAAAAGCAAAGTACAGGCATACTTTAGCTAAAGAAGCCTGACTAAAGTTCCTTTAGATAATGGCCTTTTTATGTCTGCCCAACAACACCTTTTTCTCCTCTTCCTTTGTCTAGCTGAAGTGTTTTGGCAGCACTGACATTAAGAAGATAGTAAAGGAGGGTTGGAGAAACAAAGACTTTCAATGCTGGGTTGTAGCAACATGTCTGCAATAAACAAAACTTAAACTGAAAAAGAGTGGTATTCTTTCATAGCAGATCTTACTATAGCCATGTCTGCCTTGCCACAACCCTCAAGGTAAGCAGCAACTGTCTCTACAATCTGCTACTGAACATGCATGAACAGCAAAACAGAGAAAAGGGAGAGCAGATAGGCTCTCTGTCTCACCAGTTATCCTGAGCTTGTTAATAAAGCATAGATGTTTATGCTTTACTGTGAAGTTTGGTCAGTAAAAATGAAATTATCATAGGAAATGTGGAGACTTGTGAAATAAAAACTCATCCACATTGGATTCATTTGAATGAAATCTTCAATGTCTACAAGGTTCAAAATGCTTTTGGCTACTTATGTGACATTTACCTGATCTGGTTATTTTATTTCATGTGTTTGTATTATTAATCATGAATGAAATGTTGTCTGAAACATTTTGAACTGTTTTTTTTTTGTTTTTTTGTGGTATAGATACCTATCCCTATTCTTTTATGTTATTTCTATGCATTTGGGTTTTGTTACACTTTAATTGTGTATATTATTACAGGGGGAAATATACTGTTACAGGTACCAGTGAGATTTATTGATTTTTTTTAACCGATGATTTTCCAGATAAATTTATACTCTGTCTCTTATGCAAAAATAGGGTGTTCTGAGCCCAACTCTAGCATGCTTTGGCCTGGAAAGAACTTTTTACTGGGAATTTCTGGGCCCATATTTACTAAACAGTGCCTCTTTGTAACTGGAATACAGTAAATTAGTCACTGTATTTCTATGACCTTCACAGCCTTTCAGTCACTCCCTATTCAATGATGTGCACCTTAACTCTCTTGTCCTGGACTTTAATTACATCACAGCTGTCCTAGCAACAGTGGGAGTGCTTCTACAAACAGACTAACATCTGCTTTTGCAATCGCCAGGGTCATAATTTCCTGTATATTCAGTCTGCTGCCCGGCTGTCCTGCAGCCATAGTCACACCTTTATTTCTTTAGCTGACCTAGGATAAAAATAAAATCAGACACCGTAGAAGTACAATACTTCTCACTTCTCCATTCCTATGTAACCATAGACAGTACACAGCCTCCTGGAGAGGAAAGAGGCACACTTAACTGTCAATCAGGTTGCAAAAGAAGCAACATAAGAGCACAGCTCTCCCCAACTTCACCTGGCCAGTTGCCATTTCATCAGCTCACTGCACTGTTTCCATCCAAGCTGCATGTGATAAGGACAGCAATTTCAAGAAGTGGTGCCTGTGTTCGCATTTCTTCTCCTCTTCCCACATCTCCCTTTTTTCCTTGTACATTGTAAGGACTCAGGGCAGGGATCATCAGCTACTTTGAGACCTATTTTGAATTTTACATTTTTAAAAGTTATTTAAACAAATTAATGTTATTCCATTGTACTTTTCAAAACTCTTATGGAAGGTCCTTAATGGTTATTGAATCCAACTACCTTATTTTCTGGCGTATAAGACTACTTTTTAACCTGCAAAATCTGGGGTTAAAGTGGGGGGGGTCGTCTTATATGCCGGGTATAAGGAGGTTCATGATAGGTTTGCAGTGTCATCATTAGTTGGAAATGACTTGAAGGTGCACAGCAACAACAACAACAGTTTTGGAAGTCATACTCTTCCCAAACTCTATATTGTAACTGGAAAAGTGGGGAGTCGTCTTATACGCCGGAAAATACGGTACCTGCCATAAAAATGTATTAATCCAAATCATGGTCCATAGATATTCATTTAATCCCTTGAAATGTGGTGAAAACAAATGCTTTTAAGATGTCAATTTGTTGAAATATTTTGAACCTTTTTTTTCCTTGTTTGTGGTGTGGCAACCTATCCCTATTCTTTTATGTTATTTCTGATAACACTGGCATTTTCTAAAAAGTTGGAAAGGAGCCCAATTGTTTTTAGCATCAGGAAATACCATTTTAGGTTTCAGGATGTTTGTTAAAGGTGTCTGTTTGCTCACATCTATTTTATTTAATAAATTACTTATGAATTACTTACTTCAATCTACCAATGTATATGCAACAAATGGAATTTATATTAATGCTAGTGCTAAGGGCTGTAATTCCAACCACAGTCACTTAAGAAGGGAGAGCAGTGACTGTACACACACAAGAGAGTAAGGCCTAAATTAAGGGTAGATCACACTCCAGTTGTTATTGGACAGCAACGTGCAGCATTCCTCACCACTGCTCCTGTTGGTAGGGTCGGTAGGAGTTGCAATCCAACACCATCTGCACCTTCACACATGGCCCACTCCTGGCCTAAATCCAACTGCTATCTTGAAATAAAGTAGGTCTGTCAAATCTGCCACTCACCAAATTCCTGCTGATTTAATGGGCCATTGGCAGGACTAACAATTGGATTTAAGTCTCAGGTTACAATCTCATTTACGCTTACCTAGAAGCAAGTGCCAATCAAACCAACTGAGATTCATATCAGAGTAAAAAAAGTTAGGACTAAGAGGAGACACCTCTCCCCTGAGCTACAAGACATATTTACTAAGGGACACACTGCTAAGCAGACAAGCAGTCAGTGACCTCTCCACAGCCCTGCTCGCACTCTTTCTGGAAACTTGCCCAAGAGACCTTAAATGGCTACCAACTAAGGGTGGGGGGATGCAGACAGGTGGCCATAGGCCGCCTTGAGAAGCGGAGGATTGAGGCTGAGGTGGTTGTATTTTTATGGCAGAAATAAAGCAGTTTAACATCACTTTAACTGCCATGGCCCAGCGCTATGGAATTGTAGTTTGTTGTGGCACCAGAGCTGTCAGAATTCCATAGCAAATGGCAGTTAAAGTGCTCTCAACCTGGATTATGTCTACAGTGCAGATCTAGCCTTAGACTTACTGAAGACTATGTGATTTGAGTGATGGACTTTGACTCTGGAGATTAGAGTTTGACCCCCACTCAAGCATAAAAACCCACTGGGTGACTTTGGGTGAGTCACACTCTCTCAGCCTCAGAGGATGGCAAGGGTAAATTCACTCTGAAGTAAACTGCCAAGAAAACCCCATGATAGAGTCACTGTAGGGTCATCCTAAATCAATGTTGACCTGGGGGAACACAGCAACAACAATACACAAAGGGATCTAGCAGCACATTTGAGACTAACTGAAAGAAAGAAACTAGTAGTCAGTTAAGTCTCAAATGTGCTACCAGATCCTTTTAGATACTGCTTTTCCAGACTAACACAGCTAAATCTTTGAATTCTACAGTAATGACTATGAATTCATTCTCATTCAAAAGGACTATGGCTGCATCCCTACTGTGGAAATAATCCAGGTTATGGTGGCATCAGAGCTCTCCAAAAGGGAAGACGAAATGTCTCACAAAACTACAGTTCCCAGAATTCCATAGCACTGAGTCGTGGCAGTTAAAAGTGGTGCCAACCTGGATTATATCTGCAGCAATCTTTGATTCAGGAAACCTAATCAGGGTTTGGGAAGCGGGGGGGGGGCAACCACAGGCACAGACCCCCCCCCCTTTTCATATTTTCACTCTCTCACGAGAAAAAGAAAAAGCAGAAGATCAGCCTGGCACAGTGGTTGGAGCACTGGACTGCAACTCTGGAGACCAGGGTTGGAATCCCGGCTCGGCCATGTAAATCCACCGGGTGACCTTGAACAAGTTACACACTCTCAGCCTCAGGGGAAGGCAATGGCAGAATCCCCTCTGAAGAACCTTGCCAAGAAAAATTACTAAGTTTCTTCATGTACATAATATGGGTACTGAATACCAAGAGTTTTTATCAAATGTGTTTTCTTTAAATTAGATTTGAAAAATGTGCAGAATGTGTCAGTTGAAACCATATAGCCTGACTTTAAAACAAGTTTCTTAGGCTGTAAATACAGTTCTGCCCTGAAGAAAGCAGAATGGGATATCATTCAAATATGACTGTACTAAGACTATTTCTGCTTAACATTTTTTGTGTATAAATTTAAATGCTTGCTTTTGGCCCCTCTGCATTTAAAAGGCTTGTTAAGATTGATTGCTTAACAACCAGTTCTTATAACATTAGACACAAGATCAGAAGAATGAAAATACTGCCAATATTGATTGTCACTTCTGCTTAAACTACTTAAACTAAAAAGTTCTTAATCTTGTAAGCTGCTCTGAGTCCCAGTTTTGGGGAAAGGGTGGGATATACTGTATATACCAGGGGTAGGCAACCTTTTTGAGCTGGGGGCCGGTCCCCCCAAGTAAGTGCGGGGCCCTGGGCTGGAACCAGCCCGCGGGCCATGGGTTGCCGGCCCCTGTTATATACTCATCTATAAGTCTAGAAATTTTAGTCAAAATTTGACCCCAAAAGCCTGGGTCGACATCCATGGGTCAAAAGTAAGCCCTGTACTTTAATTCTTTAAGGAAACAATCCCCTGGTGGAAACACTGATTCATTTCTATTCTCTCATCCATCCAGACTTTAGTGTGAATACAAACAGGTCTGCTGGAATTTTGCAAGTTCTTTGGCATTGCTTCTCTTTGTTTCATCCTTTAGATCAGGGGTCGGCAACCTACAGCCCACGGGTCGGAAAAGGCCCCGTTCGCCGGACTTACCGGCCCAGGCCGTTGGTTGCCGCCGCCGCCGCCCGGGCGCGTTTTTGGCTGTGCGCTTGCTGCGGCTGCCATTTTGACATCCAAAATGGCGGCCGTGACGGCTGCGGCCGCGAGCACTACGGCGGCGACCCCCCCCCGCACATGCGGCGGCTGCCGCCGTAGGCCACAGACACCATGGCGCATGTGTGACCGCCATTTTGGTAGTCCAAATCTTTTAGATCTTTTGTTACATGCTCCTAGGTTTTACCCTTGACTTATCCACAGGTCATATCAAAATTTATAATTTTGGCCCCAACAACTGCCCTCGACTTATACATGAGGTTGTCTTATAGCTGAGTACATAGGCAAATAAATAAAATAAGAAAAGGCCCAGGATAGCTTCGCCTTAGGGTGACCTTAAGTCGGAAACGACTTGAAGGTAAAATAACAATCACCTCATCTTATACCTAGAGATGTCAAGTCTGACAACCATTGTGGCATAGTGGTTTGAGCACTGGACTGCGACTCTGGTGACGGGGTTCGAATCTCAGCTCTGTCCCAGAAACCCACAGGGTCACTTTGGGAGAGTCACAGTCTCTCAGCTTCAGAGGAAGGCAAAGGCAAACTTTCTCTGAACAAATTTTGCAGACAGTGCTCTGATAGGTTTGCCTCAGGGCCACCATAAATGACTTGAAGGCTCACAACAACAACAACAACAACAACAACCACAGAACCACCCAGACTGGTTTTAAATTTTTGTTCCCCAACAGAAAGATTAAAAGTAGAGAAGCCCTACCTAACTTTCAATCCGGGAGAAACTACTCACTACAAAGGCAAAATTTGAAACCTATGCCTGTATTGGATAGCGCCTATATATTTATGTCCCCTGTTTTGATTAGGTCACCTTGGGCGAGTCACACTCTCTCAGCCTCAGAGGATGGCCACAGCAAAAAAAAACAAAAACAAAAAACCCCTCTCTGAACAAACCTTGCCAAGAAAACTCCGTGACAGGGTCGCCATGAGTCGGAAACGACTTAAAAGCACACAACAACAACAACAACGACTGTTTACCGCCTCTCAGACGCTCCCTCTCGCCACCCACAACAACAACGCCAGGACCCCCCTCTATCGCCCGCGGCAGCCAAGACTACCCTCCCGCCCTCCTTTCAGCATCCCGGAGGTCGAAGTTCCCTCACGACCCTCCTCCTCCACCACCTCTGTCGCCGCCATTAATTTTCTCTCCTAGAAAAAAAATGGGCGGGGCCAACCGCCGCCGTAACGGTTCCTCTCCGCGCGCGAGACCGAGCTCACGCAGCGCCTCCGCTCAGCTTAACTAGAACCAGGGGGCGGGGCTGGATCGGTGGGCGTGTCCC